TTGCGCTTGGTCCACGGTAGTTAGCTCAAAAAGAAGATAACGCGGACAAACGCAAATCACTCGCTCCACTGACACAGTGATACTGCAATATCATCTCGAAACCTCAGAGGGGTGCGCCAAGTGCGAAGTGCGCGGGGTGACCTACCTTAGGCGGACGCGCGTAACGGCCGGGGTATGTGGCATTACGTGCGTCCGAGGATGCGCGCGGCAACTTGGGCGGCGGAGCTAGCAGTTGCAGTTGCGTTTTCGGTCACACCCTTCCTCCTCCCCCTCCCGAGAAGATTTCAGGCCGTCATCCACTTTTCGGAACATTTAACACAAAACCAGTTATCAGGCCATTATCCATTATTCGGAAAATTAAACACGAAATGTAGATTAACGTATAATTGACCAGATATAGATCAGTTCATATCACTTGATAGCCACGGAACGCACGACTGAGTGCTCGGTCACGAGCTTCTGTTATTGTCGTGAAGCCAAATGATGCAGAGAACACCGAAAGCTCCGCACTTACTCCCTGCATTCCTCTATCCTACTCCTAGAAGAGATAGTGTGCTTCGAGGCACTGCACTCGTACATTGTGTGAAATTAATAAATAGATACCCCTCTATCTTCCTTATTTCTTTCCCTGTGCTAGTCACCGAGGGCACTAACCTTGCGCTCCTTGTTTTGAGCTTGCTGGTAGGTTCCTTTCTCCCTCCCTCTTATTCACGAGTTCCATTGGTATGATGCATACTGTGCACTGATAAGGACCTTAGCTTTGCTTAAAGGCACCGTTCACGATAAAAAAGGTTATTGAGTTCTCACCTTGTTAATACTCAGCGGTCCCCATGGTTTGTGGAAGGGACCCTCTCACTCCCCCCATTTCGACGTCCAGGGCATAGTGGCGGCCCCGTTGTTGCCGTAGTTCGCGTCTCCGCCCCTTGACCGATGTCACGTCAGACGAGATGTAGACGACACAGTGTCATGTAATTGCGAAAGGCGAAAACAGCTGTTTGGGTGTGATGTCTGCAATTGCAGACATTGCGTCGCCTTGGTGCACTCGCCCGAACACTCCCTTGACCGCCGTTCTTTCAATGTGAAGCTCGTCCAACCCCCCTTTCCAGCTCTTTTTTGACCTTTTGTATTTCTTTTTGTTCATAGTTTTTTGCGCTTTTCTCGTTGTTGTCGCTTTATTCTAGAGTAGTTCTATCAATTCCCGTCAAAAAAGGGTACCCTATATTTATCGTAAACGGTGCCTTTAAAGTTGCATCGTTATTTTTGAAGCCGCTGTTTTTAGCGCTTATAATCGTACTTTATAAAACTCAGATACTGTCGCTTGTTCATAATGGCCGTAACCCTGGATTGACACTTTTTCGAATGATTTTTTGTCCCATATCGTTTTCACACTTTCGAATGGTAGTTCAAAAATACTGGAATTCCAGCTAGTACCCTAATTGGTAAGGGAATTCCGCTCCAATCATGATCGAGAGTTAAGCGGTTTGTCAATTTGCCAGAGAAAAATTGAATGGTCGTAGAAGACTGGATCCATTGGAAACGCTGAACACATTGGCTCCTCGGTGAAAGGTCGCTAAAATAATAAAAAGCTGCCTGAGGCTGGTGCTGAAAGTCCAAGGACATGGAATCGGCTTAGTAGACCAGAAATCCAATTTCCAAGATGATCCGTACAGCCAAGCCTCAATAGGCCTAGGAACAAAAATCTCACGGTCATGAGCATCAAAAAGAGCTTTTTGAATAGATCGTTAAACAACGTTCCGTGAATACTGGTTTGGTCCATGTGCTGTCCCACTCATGTTCCTGCATTTCATGCTCCACCAAAAAAAATTAATAAAAATAATCATGGAATTCAGTACAGCCTTCAGCTTGAAATTTTGACTGCTAGAGAAGTTCTGAACTTTACAAAGTTAGGCTTCTTCATCTCCATCATATCTACACCCTTGACCGCCTCAATATCCGTGTCATTAACGTAGTCGAGGCGTTCAGCCTTGATTGCGGCACCTCAATTTGTTCGCGTTCCTCTTGACAGCTCAGTGGGTTACTGGTTGTTATCCTACTGCAGCCATCACTCACACCCACTACTTCGTAATCTTCTACTTATTTACAATTTTAATAATGCTGGAAGTCCTGAATGCTGGCTGATCGCGGAATCTCGTTGAGGAGACTACTCGCTCTCAAGAGCGCCAAGGTTTGCGAGCTTTTCACAAAATTGGGGCCAAACTGTTATGAACCTAAACTAGCCACATAAAAAGTATCCATAGGCTGTTGTAGGTTAGCTCTTAGTATTACAATAAAGCAGAAAAGCAACAATAGTAGTAGGATTCCTAGGGCTNCTGTGCAACCCGTATTTTGCAGATAGCAGAGAGGGCACATAAAGCTGGTCAACGGCAAGTTAGAAAACTCAGAAAGGATCCGCCATTATGTTTCATATTTATGAATAGAGCATATCATAAATATGGACTCAAAGTGAGTTTGAAATTAAACCCTTATCACTTTAACTTGAACTTAAACTATGTCTTTCATTTTCTGACAATAACTCTGAGTAAGGAAAGTGGAGCCACTTACGGTTGAGCGTTTCCGCTCAAATTCTTCGCATCGAAAGTCTAGCCCTGAAGCTTACACAACCATCATTTTTGTTATTTTGTTGGTATTGCTTCCTGTCTCGACGAAACCCTATCTCTCACTGGAGGTTATTTCGTTTGGAACCACCATATGCAGGGCCCAATCCTGAACAGGAAGCTCTCCTTGGTGATGAAGACAAACCCAGCACAAATGGGTTTCCACCGCCCTTAGATGGACTGATCAGATTAGACTGACGTGAGCCATACATCTGTTTGAGCTGGCGGGTCACGGACTTCTTCAATAGGATCTCATCAACACTTTTAGGTTTCTTCGTAATCTCTAGGGGGGTATATTAGCCAAAATTTCAAATGGGTACTGGGTCACAGGTCTTTCGAATATCAGCTTTGATTTCAGCACATCGTTTTAATACTGGTATTTCTTTTCTACACAATTGTTGGAGCATTTATCTTTCTTGTCGTCGAAGGACCATATCAAAATGGTCTGAAGGAGCAGTGGAGCGAGGTAAAGTCGTTTTCTGGTTGGTAAATCAAGATTTAATTCAGAATGAGTATAGTGCATGGGAATAGCAGAAAGCGTTTCCATTTCATTCTCCTCCCAGAACCTCCCAATGAGCAACTGGATGAACGGCCAAAATGATTTCAAAATTTTATCCAAGAACAGGGTGAATTACGGCGATTCGTGGCCATGCAGAGAAATATCCTTTACCGTAGTCAGGTGGGAAATCTGAACTAGGGTAAGCTTGACCCATGTCGCGATTTGGGGTATAAATGGTTATGCCTTCCTACGATGAAATAGAATTCGGCTAATAAATTTGAACAAATGTGAAGCTCTTGTTCCAACACACCAGGGAATCTTCAAATAGTTGTCATAGCACCATAGTTAACACCAAACGTAAAGTACCTTCGCAAAGCTCACCCTCAACAGCGTTGAAACAACGTTATGGCCCCAGCACTCCGAGTAGGAGACAAAGTCATGGGCAGTCGCTTGAAATTGATGTAAACCTGAACGTTAGTGTTTACTGCACTAATTGAGAGCATCAAATTTCAGCGTATCGCTCATAATCGATCTCGACGGGTTATGCACTTAATGGCACGTGTATTTAATAATTCAGAGTATTTGGTTTACATCAAAGGCAACACAACATTGCGATTGCAGAAGCTCTTCAACGAGTAAGTCTTATCGTTTGATCAAGTGCCAAATCAAAACATATTGATAGGATGGGGTCTTATTCGTCTACACTTCCAACTTTCTTTTATGGAGCTCTTTTTTGAATTGAGCCTTCATTTGGGTGAAATGAATGTAAGAGTAAGAGTAGAGTATCCGCTTTCAATGTAAGTGGTGCAACGCGCTTTTAGTCGGAGCAGCGAACAGAGCAAAGGCCACTCCTTTTTCTGATCATTTGCGTATTGCCGAGACGGCGTGTGCTTTGAGCTTTTACATTATAGTTCTAAATCTATGAAATCTGATGAGCACCGAGCAACTGGGTCGAAGGGTTTCGCCGAGATGCCTCTTGAGAACACTAAGGGGTTGCCCCCTGCTCATCAGGTGTTATGAAGGGAGCCGATCTGTGAAAGCGGTCTGTGGCTTCGTTCGACTAGATATCAAGGTCTAGTGTAATCGTAAGTAATCCCGATCCCGAGTCATGGCTGACTGGTAAAAGGATAAAGTCTTGGGGCGTTAATCAGTCCCGTCTGAGGGATGCGCCCGAACTCGACTTCCATTCACAATGGCGTATTGAATGCTTATGTGGGCTACAAAATGACTTGTGCTGACCAGCCAAGACAGTGGTTTATCCTCCTAGACGAGCTTGATTTTAATCAACCGACCCTGGAGGGAAGAAAGATCTGTTGGCCTAGGCGGATATGGATCCGGTATTTGAGCTCGTGACCGTGCGTGTGAGACAGTGCGCCCCTCTCCACTCCACCACCTCCGCCCACTTGCCAATACACCGCCTCGCTCTGACTGATATTACTCATCATCAAACGACTATTGATTGTTATTGACTATCACCTCTATCATTTCAAGAGTTTTTCGAACTGTCTGAAGATGTTTACAAAATTTCAAAGCATCCTTGTTGAAAGAATGTAGACGAACAAAAATGAGCGTGGCTATATTTTGACCTTTCTCAAGCATAAGCAATGAGCCTCCCGCAACCCACCGATTTGTCTTGAACCGTTTCATTCTGACTCCTTTCTAAGGTGGAGTGGTAATGGCGAGCGTTCTTAAGAGGATCTCACGCCTCTCGGTATAAGTATCCACCGATAAACTAGCACGATGCGGAAGACATCTTTTGAGACTACATTCAGCAACATAACAAAAACCAACCCAACATGAAACTTCGGAGTTCAGTGCAAATTTCTTCAAATCATGCAGTTCAGTGAATTGGCCTCATATGAACGACAGCTGGGAATCCGATGGAGTGAACAACGGATGGAATGGGATTTCTGGACTGCGTTGTTGTTTGCTGGCACCATATGCACAACTATAGGTGAGCTAATCTTCCTCAGTTTACTGCACATCATAATTCTATGTAATCGGTTCTGTCAAAGTAGGCGGAATGCAAGTATGCGACTGAAAGTGCTACGGTATCGGAGGCCTGCGATGTGCAGCCCGCGTGAGCGCAGTTAAATAAGGAAACTTTGAAGAACACCTTCTTCATGGAAGGCAGCGGATGGAATAATTTATGTTAGCACCAGTTGGGCCGCCCGGCTTACGCCGGGCCCTCATTCCTTACATTTATTAATCAGTTAGAAAGTCAAGTCACTGTTAACGACTAAATGGTTTCGAAGATATGCACATGGTTAGAATTCTGAGCCCCCTCTGATAACATTTGTGCAGGAATTAGGTCGGAAAACGGCTGGATAGGGCACAATAAGGCCAGGAACAGTGGGGGACGCGATGCCTCCACCCCTCGTTAGGCTGACTACGTGTT